TTCAAATTTTTTGGTCACCATTACCACAAATATGGATCGAATTACTTTGCTTGTCTATCATGTGTCTACAATTCATTTTTTTTTCTCTATTTGAATGGAAAATAAAAACAATAACAATTATGAAAGAAAATGATACTCACTGATTTTACTTGATTTTGTTAATTAACTCGTCAAACAAACAATCATATTATTTTCTCAATATGTCATTCATCATTCAATTTTTTTTTGCACATTTTCTTTGAAACCAAAAACCCCATTGATGACAAAACATTGACCATTGATATTGGACAAATCTATGGGCTTATATGCACATTTTTTTCACTTTTCTTTCAACTTGGAAACATTTGAATCTCTCTTTATTTTAGTTATTCATTCACTTGAAATATATTTATAAAAAGATCGGAAGTCGCTAAATGCAATAGGATTTTTTTTGTTGTTGTCTTCTTTTGTTTCTGATTTTTTTGGCTGTATATATAATGTTTTCGTAAAAGTTTAATTGAACATCAAACGTAGTCATCATCAAACATTACCATCATCGGAATAATCATCATTTCACACAATGCAATTCTAATTCTAATTCCAATTTTCATTCAGTCGAACTAGTCATTCATTCAATTCAGTTAGTCAGTCAGTCAGTCATTCAGTCATTCAGTAGTCAATGTTTAGACAGGCCACCACACAGTAGACAATGGTATTTCTCCCTGTATGCATATATATTCATAATCACATATATAAATGTGATGAAATGATACACATTATTATTATTATTTTTCTGGGATCACTGACGGAGAGATCGAGGGCAAAAGAGAAAAAGAATCTCACTTATAATTTTTCTTTCCTATTGGTTGTACTTTGTTACTTTGCCATCAGTTTTAGTCAGTTAAAGCTATTCAAATTGAAGTATTTTCATGAGAAATTAGACACACACAATACGAAACAAAAGATTATATTTATGGTAATGAATATCGCTTTATACACAAAAAAAAGACACATGCATCACATTAGAAAAAGAAGTTCTGGGAGAGCAGAAAAAAAAATTGAACAAAACTGTCATAAAATCATTATATCGGGATAAATTCCGTAATCATTGATGCAACTACTAAAAAAATTGACAGCTTTACATATATGATGAAAGTGATTTGATTCTTTCTTTTTTTTTTTGATTTAAATTTTTTACTTTGTCAAAAATCTTTCACTTGAATAGATTTTATTTTCATTCATGTAAAAATTCACCTTCCTGATTCAGGTTAAATTTGTCAAGAATAATAATTTTTGTTTTGTTTGATCATTGTATGATAATACAAAAAAGCAAACCATATCAAATTGAAATATTCCTATCAAGATTCGTTTCGTTTTCATCATTTTCATTCATGTCATCATCATCATAATAGTCGTCGTAGTCGTCGTTATCATCATCAAGTGGAATGAAATGTATTTTAATTAACATACAATGTTTCTTGCTACCAAACTTCCTAATGATTCAATTTAGTTCATCAAAAGTTCAACCATTATCATATACATTGATTGTCGTCGTCGTCGTCTTCGTTTTTCATTTGATATTTATATATATTTATCATTACAATCTAATGTTCGCTCATCAAGTTAGACACTTTTAAATTATCCCACCAATTTGTCACATCAAAAGTCAGAATTTATTAACATTATTATCCATCCATTCATATATATTGTTGAATTGAATGAAAATAACGTTATAAGTTATATAATCATTCAGTAAAAGTTATTTCGATTTACAACATTTGTTTAATTTCATAAATAATGATGTTGACATCATCATCTTATCATAATCATTGAAATAAATTCATTTTTGTTTTTCAAAAAAGAAATATTTCTTTATAGTGAAAGAATCATTCATTTCACACAACATATAACAATTATTGGCAGCTCGACAAACTTGGCATTACACACTTCTTCTAGCCAAAAAAGAATAAACTTTTTCTTCTTTGTTGATGTTTTCTTTCCGGTATGATCAGTATTGTTTTTCTTAATTTAATGATGAAAAATTTTCATCGATCATTTTATTTGTCCAATTTGTTTTTGTGGTTGAATATAATGAATTATATAAATAAAATGTGATGAAGCTCAAAAGTTAAAGTCAGTTTTTTTTCTTTGGTAAAAGTATAAAATTATAATAATTAGATGATAAACCACACAAGTTGTGTGTATGTGTGTGTGTATGTGATTATTGTTCGATAATAAAGGACAAACCACAAATTAAATTTTCAGTATTCAAATAACAAGACAAGAGATCATCTTTGTTTCCGTCATGTGTATCAGTAGATCGTCTTTTTATTTGTTTTGTTTATTTTGATCACATAGAACACACACACATATAAACTGCAAAATAGTAGTAGTCTATTTAGTCATTCTAAATAATGATAGAAGAAGTTTTTAGAAGTAAAAAGAGATTCTCCTTCAAACACTAAAGAAAAGTTTCTATCATTATGAACAATTTCTATCCTTTCATTTTTATTTTTTTTTTCGGGCAACTTATTCTAATTATGTCTATGATATTCCACACAAACAAACGGACATCATTAGACCACAATGAAAGAATTGTTTTCATTGTTCTTTTTCTCTGTTATTTTCTGGAAAAAAATTGGGAATTATTATTATTATTATTATTCATCTTCTCAATACTTTTTGATTCATTTATTCAACCAATCCATTCATCTATAATATACTAACCAAGTACTAACCAACCAACCGATCGAAAGATTCGTTTAGTTTTTTTTCCAATTCTGACCAAACTAAATAATAATAATAATCTTTCTTGTTGAACAAAACCGATACGGGAAATATAATAATAATAATAATCATCATCATAACCAATTCATTCAGATTCTGATCAATAAGCTTCAATAGACTTTTTTTTGCCATAAACTAATAAATCAATATTCTGATGTTCAAAATAAATTATTATTATTTTTTTTTTGTTTTGTTTTCTCCATAAATATAAACTGAAATTATTCTTAATAGTATTGCATAGAATTACCACGAAACAAAATGCATTTATATTAAATATATTTTACGCTGAAATTATTTTATATATCGTTACTACTAACTGATGTAACGATACAAAAAAAAACAGAGAAAATAATAATCGGAAATCTATTGTATCGGATTTATTTGGTATGTTGGTATTTGAATGATTCCTTTCAAACAAACAACAACAACAACCAAAAAAAGGCAAAATATCTTCCATATTTCCATTAATAATATCCAATTTGCCTGATATTATTATTCAGATCTATGTGATTCAAATTTACATAGAACATTCATACAACTTTTTCAATCAATTTTTTCTTTTGTTCTTAGAAAATTCTTTTTCCGTAGGATATTTGTAGTCAGAAAGAAATTGCCTTGTTTTTGAATTTTCTTGGGGATTAAAATTTGAAAAAAAATTGAAAAATTTGATTGAATTGACCATTCAAATGCAAAAAATGTTTGATGAGTACACAACGTGCTTCAAATTCATGTTGACATGAGGACATTCGTTGTTGTTGTTGTTATGATGTTCAATAATCTAATTTTTCTACAAAAGCTTGCCTGATACATTACAAAACTATAAATATTGAAGTTTTAATCAAATTTATTTGTATTAAAATTGTTGGCCTCGTCTGCCAATGGTCACTTCATTTCGTTCAATTCGCTTCAAGGCATAAAATTCTATTGATATTATTTTACTTATTGTTATTCACAATTTAAAAAGAAATATATCGAATTGCTATTTGAAATTCATCTCGCGAATCTCAATATTGATGGCGAACAAAAAAAAAACGAAAAACTAATTCATGAATGTATATATGAGTTTGATTCATTAGGCACAAGTGTATTTCATTTGTTTCATCAAACAAGCTGTTTGACCATTATTTTTTTCCCGAATCTATCAATCAATCAATCTTCTACGCAAAACTTAAAGCGAATGAGTATGAGCATTGCTGATAAAGCAAATGACATTATTAATAACAATAAATTCGGTGGTAAAGAATCTTTCGAATCAAATTAATAATTGGATTGTAATAAATGTTACTATGAAAATTTATCTACCATCTATTGGCAGTAATGAAAAATAATAATGTATGAGGATTCAGGAATTGAAAATATGAATGAAATTTTTATTTATTTATTTGAAATGATTTTCGTTTCCCATTATAAAAATAGATTGAATTTATTTTCTTGTGGGAGGTTGTGTTCGTATTTTTTTTAATATAAGGATATAGAATCAACAAATTCAACAAAAAAAAGAAAAGAGAAGAAAACGAACAATTTCAATCCATTATGTCAATAATAAATGATAGAATAGATATTGTAAATGAAATGTTTGAAGATTTTTTTTTTAAACTAAATAAGTTAATAACAATGTATAAATAATGAATAACATTGAAAAAAATCAAAAACAATATGATAAATATTTATTTGATTTCTATCTACAACAATTGTTTTGTATTCTGGTATTTGTATTTGAATAATGTTATAATATATTTCACTTGTGATGATTATAGAATATGTTTTTTTTCGTTGTTGTGCCTAAGATAAGTAGAATATAATTATGTAAAAATGATTATAATGATTTAATCATCATCATCATTAACAATGAACGGCGAAAAAAAAAACAAATGACTATCGAAAATTTTTTGTTGAAGAAAGACGTATGGTTTTTTACAATTCATTATTTTATTTTTATAATTATTATTTTTGGGATTTGTTGCTTTCATTCTCATCAGAGAATCATTTACAAAGGCACCTGGTTCAACCAAATTTTTATTTGTTTCTTATTTTTTTTCGTTGCGTACACATTGATGAATTGAAACATTGGTACAATTATTATTAAGTATTATTATCACATCAGTTGTTTTACATGAAATCTATGTGTTTCACAATCGCCATTATACAGAAATTTTCCTAAATATTTCATTAAAAAATATTAGTTTTATTAGATTATTTAGATATATTCAAACTATACCTGAAGAAACGAGAATTCATTTTTTATTGCAATTATTGTTATTTTGATTATTATCCAATCGAGTAGATGTTGTTTCATCATAATCATTGATTTCTTTATTTTCTTTATCACTATCACAAAATGGACATTTTATTTGATCTTGTTCATTTAGTTCAATTGAATTTTCCAAACAGGTACTATATAAATAAAAAAATTATAAAAAACTAATTCGAAATCATAATGAGAAAAATTGCTTGATAAAATTACCGGCAATAAGTATGATTGCATTTTTTCAAGATAATTGTATCTCGCATATCCATTCGTTTCAGACATCTAGGACATTCGAATTGTTCAATCAAATTTTTATCCAAACAATGTTGATTTTTTTCATCCTGATTATTATTCACAAATTCACCGATTTCATTATCATCATCATATTCTTCAAGTTCCTCTTCATTTTCTTCCTCAACTCTAGGCAACATTTCATTGACAAAATTTAAACTTTCAAATACGAGCTCATTTTTATATGGCGGAACATCGGTTTCCTGATAGAAAAAACTTTTAGTGGAATTCGTTTGAAAATCCTGGTCACTAGAAGTAGTATGAATGGTTTCATTGAAGCTAGTTCGTGATGAAACACTATTTATTGCTTCAAAATCTAATGATGCTAATGGATTTTGAATGTAGTTTACGGTTGATTTTTCATCATTCACTAATTGCACATGAACTTTGTTATCCAATATTTCTTCCGTTGAATATGGTGGCAGTTCGTCTGTTGGTCTTAGCGACTCATAAAAACTATCATCATCTTTTTCATAGAGATCACCATTCGTTTCTGTCGTTTCATTCTCCATCAATTTACAACCAGACGTCGTAGCCAATGTTGAAGCTTGGCTCAAATTGTATCTGCTATCATTCTCATTCAACATTTTAATTTGAAGAAATATTGAGCATCCAGAATGAGTGATTCCATAGGTTGATAAAGATGCATCCATGTTTATGGCCAAGTTTTTTCCAAAAATCCATTGTTGCAGTTCTCCTGGGATATCGAATTCTTTTTCCACCTTTGATAGATTTAAATTAAACTAAATGAATAGTTTATGACATTAGATAGATAAATTACCTTTATTTTGAGCATTTTTACAGTCATTGATGGATATAGCTGAAATGGAATAGGTCCTTTGTGAGATATTTTATCGTCAATATAAAGATATGTTCTATGGTAATATTTGCAATTTAGAAATAAATACATTTTATTATCAAATAAAACTTACACTATTGGAGAATCGCAACTTGATATAATTTCACATTGACCTGAAGCAAATTTTCCAGTTAAAGAACAATTAACCTTTTTGAAAGCAAGCTCTTTAGCTAGAATAGCAGCTCTTTGATGGTCGCCATTAGCGATTGCAATTTCCAATTGTGATAAAAGACATTTCGACCATGTATAGTCATTTTTATTGCCAAATTCATTCGGTGCTTCTATAGGAATTTCATACAATATTCTTATAATCAAAATCATAAAATTGAAAAATACTAACCATTGAAGCCAGTTGGCATAAAATCTGCAGATTTTTTCAATGTTTCTGAAGAAAAATGAGGAGTAACGGGAAATGTTTGCATCAGACTATTACTTAAAGCACTTTTGAATAATTTTTCACTGCTTATTGTTGACCGATCTGGTTGCATTGTATTTTCAAGCAATTCTTTTTTTCCGTTTCCAATGTCATCAGTACTTAATCTGCTGAATTTTGTGACAAGAGGAGATGCCCAAAGATTCATTGGAGAAAGATGATTTTTTAATGGAATATTTGAGGTAATCATTTCATTTGCAGTACGCATTGCTGATGGTGTTTCAGATAGTGTAGAATTAGAAGAAGATAATGATGATAATGAATGATCAGATGTGCTACTTGTTAGCCAAACGTTTGAACATTTTTTCTCCGTAGCTAAAAACAATGGATTAGTGGCTGATGATGTACAAAATTCATTATGCAAAGTACATGCATATTGATGGCGACAATCTTTTCGATGATTTCGATATCTTAATGTTCGACATCGACATTGTTTATGTTTACATCGACGTGAAAACTTTTCAGGAGAATTTTTGAAGCTTGTTTGACAAAATACATCTGCATACAAAAAAAAAATTCCAGATAAATGTCTCGATAAAACATACATTTCAAACATACCTTTTAGATTAACACTTGCTGTATCGTTGCTATTTCGTTGAGATTTTGAATTATCTATTTGATCATCATGAATATATTCGACCACAGTTGTTGCACTTGTTGTGTTGGTTAAAGAACTATCCGACATAACACGTATTAATTCGAAGCTGTTCATTTCATTCAAAAGATTATCAATAGTTTCTTTTCCATTTTTAGATTTTTCCGTCGTCGATGTTCGTAGATCGAAATCACTTTTTTTAAAACGAACACTATGTTTAGGGCTTAACAATGCATTGGTAAGATTACTAATAAATCCAGTATCTGTTTTACAATCACATAGATCCTCTACTAATAACAAATCACATAATTCTCGATCTGGACAAGGAACAGATTGATCACTTTTATGATTTTCATTCATTGTAGCTAAATATTCTTTCCAATGATAAACACAACAAGTGTATTTAGCAAATGGCATGGATTTACTTCTACTTATATTTGGTGATGAATTTTGTTGATTATTAGATTCTAATCGTTTAGTCTCGGAATTCATTTTACATCCGAAAACTTTTAAAGGATCAAATGTTTTTTCCGGAAGCATGGGTAGAATATCTTTTTGAATTAATTCTTTGCCACATAATGGAATCTCATATATAGATTCGAAATCATTGTTTTTATTGCTCGATTTATCAATAATTTCATGTTTATGTTCATTTTTTTCTGATTCATTTATTTCTGATTCAGTTGGAATGACTTCTTGTAGATTCACTTCACTACGAAATGACGGCAATGCATTAAATAAATTTTTCATATTCAATTGTTTCTGCTCAGACAATGATCGAACCAGATTTGGTGGCTGTTGAAAAGGGCTTTTTGTTATAATGACTTCGGCTTTAGAACTAAAATTAGTTGTCATACTTGAATTCGAAAGACTTCGAGGAAAGGAATTACATGAAGTAGATATGGCATCAGTATTTGACACTGGACTAATGGAATATTCTGTAGGTTGTTGATTATTGCTACCAGTTTTGGGAGGTTTTGGAGCTGGCCCTTTATTACGTCTTCGACGTGGAGATTGAAAGTTTTCACTACTAGCATAATTAGATGTTCGTTTATCGCTTGAATTTCTTTGCGTACTACTGCTACTACTGTTTGTAATCTCTTCGGAAATATGTCCATCAATATGATGTTGTTGCATTATTTCACTCATACGATAAGGCGAACTTTTTGAAACACAAAAATTTGTTTTTGAATTACATGGATGAAATCGAGGTGAAAAGGCTGTTGTTGATGATTGCGATGAAGCCAAAAGCGGATTTTGAAGAGAAGGAGGTGGTGGTGGTATTGGGGAAGGATTTTCGTCAGTGATTCGATGAGAGATATCTGATGAAAGACTATTGTTTGGTTGAGTATTTGGAACACTGCTTGGAATGTCGACATTATAGCTGGTATCAGTGGAACTTAATCCAAGCCGTTGTATTGGCCTGTTTTTTCTTACTTTTTTATTCTCATGATGATGGTGATGATGATGGTGAGAAGCTTCTTGTGGATGATGATAATCAAGATGATGTTTATCAGGATATTTACGCCTTCTTAAATGACTTCTATCGGTTGGTTTATTATTTTTATTGTTATGGTTACTTTTATCTGAATAGGATTTCATTGATTTAAGCCGCAATGAATTTGCTAAAAAGCAAGCCACAAGTGAACGAAAGCCTTGTTTATTATTTGCCTTGGCATTCGAATCAAGACTTCTTTCCGTTTCGGAATCAATATCCGATTCATCAGTTAATACTGAACGACCAATATAAATTTCAGCTACCGAGCTACTCGATGGAAGACTTGATATTGAAAGATCCGAACCAGTACGCTCAAGAAGAGCAGAATCCAAATTTTCACGTTGCAAATTCGGAGAATGATCGACATTTTGTTGTTTTGTTGATGAGGTTGATTTTTTCAACAACATCTGCGTCTCTTTAATCGCATGCATATTAATGGATGATTGAGTGATTGTAGATTTACGCTGATGAATCATTTCCGTTGGTACCGTTCTTAATGAACTGATTATTTCACTATGTCTCCAACTAGCACCAGGCTCCTTAATTGGTTCAAAAGCAGTTGCCAGATCTTCACCACCACAACACATATTGGCATGAGGTTTACTGGAAAAATGGCACATATGGGCCATATCTTCCGTCCATCGTTTGCCTTTAGGTTTTCTGGTTTTACAAATATGAGCACATGGATGATTACAACTATGACATTGACAATGACGATTGTTTGGTGCATGTACATCGTGTCCAACCTATTCAATTACAAACAAAACAAAATTGATAGATTATTTAAAAATATTCATGGAAAACAAAACATTCCGATAAAGCTAAATTCAAAGCCGGTAGATGGCATTATAATCCGGTGATTCCGGTTCATCGAAGTGAATAAAACAAAAAATTCATCATCATTCCGGTGACTTGGTCCGCTAAGAAAAAAAAACGCTATAAAACACCGAGACACATTTTTCCACAAAAAAAACTGTTTTTTTTTAATTACTTGATCATCATTATATTCATTATACAACAAAAAAAAAACACTTAATAATAACTTTCAATTATATTCCGAAGTTTTTTTCTTTCTTTCTCATCATTATCAACGTCAATGTTGTTGTTCACATTACCATGAATTAATGTAATTTAGCATGCAAAAATGGTGAACAAAAAAAAAATATTCAAACTTGATGAATTTATAAAAATAATCGTTATTTTTTTAAGCTGTTAATGGCATAACTTCTAACTTTATTTTTTGTTTCCATTCTTTTTTATCAGAGAAATTGTTGTTGTTGTTGTCGTATTTTTTGCTGAAAAAGCGGAAAGAAAAAAAGTTTCTTCTCAAAAATATTCAACTTTTTTTTTTTGGTTGAACGAGAATATATACCACCATATATAATAAGTTGATTTTCTTCAATTTTTAAAAAATGAAAAAAAAATGGACAGAAACAAAACAATAATGCAAGAATTCAAAGTAGTTCATTATTTAATGGGGTTCATTCAGAACATTTTTTTTAAATTCGTTTTAACAATGGCAGAATAATATCTTCGAAATAAAATAATAATAACAACAACATAATCAGTATCATCATTCACAAATAATGCGGCATAATTTTTTTAAAGTGATAATTATTCGTAATCATTCTTGTTACGTTATAAATGGTAAACGAACAACAATAACAAAAAGATTAAAAGCTTTAGAATTTCTTTCCGGACTATTTTCATAGCCAGACCAAAAAAAACCAAGTAAAATTTTCAACAATTTTCCCTTCTACACAAGCTTAATTTATAATGCAGTACAATGCGTTCGAATGTGATCGTTTTATTTATTTATTTATTTATAACCCAGATAAAAAAAATTCAGGAATCCTAGTTGAAGAATTTGAATCTAAGAATGAGAGAAAAACGTTTTTTTCTCTTTCATACAAAAAACAAAACAAATAAACTTAACCATTGGATAATGATGATGATGATGATGGAACGAAAAAAAAATTGTCGAATTGAATAACTAAAAAAACTGAATTTTATTTTCAGAAAAAAATAAATAAACAATTCATTGTTTTTTAGAAATTCTATTAATTTAACAAAGAAAAACCTATTAGATATTTTGCTTACAATGTGAAAAAAAATTTGGTCAATGGTCATTCAATGTTGTTGCCGTCGTATTTCTGTTTGTTTGCAGAGAATGACGACATGAGTATCAAATAATGATAAAAATAAACATCGTTACGCTGTGTCCGTAAACAATCAACAAAAAATAAAATAAAATGAAAAAAAATAAAAACGCATTTCGAAGGATAACATTGAATATTTATTTGCCAACAAAGGGCAGTCAATAAAGATGAAAAAAAAGAAAATTCATACAACAACAAGAATCCCGGGAATAGAAAATAAAGTAAAATACCATAATGTCTTAATAATAGTGTCCATTGTAAAAATGATCATCATCATTTTTTTTTACCGAAAATAAAAATTGCAATCTTAATACTGTTTCCGGATGTAAATAAATAAATAACTAACGAAATAGAATGTTTAGTAAATAGATATATTTACTTTATTTCGATTTCATTCAATATACTTGTATTCGATTTATTTATTCATTCATTCATTCATTCATTTATTATTGAAATAAACAGGAAGCTATGTAATACAATGTCAATTTTTTTTCTGTTGGTATTCATTTTCTTTTGAAAACAAAAATAATTGATCCACACAACCAACCAAATATTTTTTTTTGGATATCTTAATTTTGATAGGTAAATATTACCATTTTTTTAAAAAGTTGTTGTTGTGTGTTGATATTAGTTGATTGTAATGTTCAAAGCAAGAAAAAAAATTGTTGATTATTCAAACACAATTAGATATGAATGGACATTTGACCGATGTAAAAAAAACGAAAAATTCTGACAAACAACAATTATCAAAGTAAAGTCATTAATTAATAAAAACAATGTAAATTTTTGTGACAACAAACAATGATTTGTAAAGAAAAAAAACCGAATGAAATTACACCAATCAAAATGAACATCACTAAGAAATGAAAATGACGATTATTCATTAGAAACAATAATGATAATGAAAAATCAAATGAATGTGTTGTTCATATTAGGAAACACCGTTGGATAATGATTGTGTGATCAGTGTTTGGATTGAATTTTTTTTATTTGTCCATAAAACTTATAGGCATCATTGTTTAGCGAATGCGCATCAAGTAAATCGAAAACCAAAAAATTTAACGTTACTCATTCATTTTTACGGGATGTTTTTTTTTCTTCAAAAAAAAATTCTGGTACGCATATACGAATGTGATAACGTTTTTTTCCTTTTATTATCATTCTTCTTATTATCGCTATACAAAAAAAAATCCCGTCCGTGCAATCAATCTATCTATCTATCTATTCAACAATCCATCTTTGTGATTCGATGTTTTTATTATTATTATTACTTTAATTTTTTTTTTGTATTTCATTCATTCGGTTTCATATATTCACCCTCATAGGAATTTATCATTTATAGATGAAATATAAATTGGAATCGATATTGATTACAATTATAGGGGTTTCACACTAGCAGCAATGTGAATGAAATATTTCAAATGCAATATTTCA